ACGATTTTCCTGGTGATCATTGGTGACGTTAGTTGGCACAGTCATTTAGTTGCGCAAATGGATTATCACTAACAACGAGATAACATCTTACTTAAAATTGTGTAGGTTTTTTGAATTTAATAGGAACTGGATTGTGAACGTTAAAAGATTTTATAAGGGATTAATCAAGAGAAACTACAAAAAGTGAGTCAAGAGACATAGATAAGTTTCCTTGTGTAGACTAGACTTTGTAAAAATGAAATATTTCGTGATTATAGTTTACGAAAGCTTCCTGTCAGGATAGCGGCTTACTGTAAACTTCCTTCTATAGATTCTAATTTGCCTGTGGGAATTGAAATCACTCTGTTAGAAGTACTCAGCAGAACCCAGTGTTGCCGGCGGTCATACACTTTGAATGCATTCACAACTGGTTTATCGCGTGTCCATTCATTGCTGGTGAGCCAAATCTTATCATAATCATTTTACCATCTCAATAGGTCGCTGTGATGTTGTATTATGTTTCCATCTCTAGTCTCCTCAGACTTTACCTGTTGGTCAGAATTATAGATTTTCTCTTGTTTGTTTTTATTAATCTAAAGCTGAAAACGAGTTATGAAGTAGAAATTACAATTTGGACGAACGAAGGTCTGTAATTATTCACAAATGAAAAAGAAAATGCACTATTCAAGAGTGCAATATGCAATTGGAATAAAAGATTATTGAAAGTGCTTTTTAGACTTAAAGTCACATTACAAGAGGATTTACAACTATTTCACAATGTTGAAGTGGTCTGTAATCAACTTCAAAATTTTTGATGAAACTGGTAGACAAAATAAACGATCAAAGTTTTAATTCCACAGTTTGAGATTGCTCAAAAAATTTTGAATCCATTTTTGAAAAGCACTTTAATGACAAGCTTTGACCATATGCAATTGCTTTAAAATATAGGTCAAATTTTACACCAGTGAGGTATTTCGTTAGGTAGTTTAGAATCTTCCAAAATATTTTATTATATAGTTTATTCTATGTCGACAGCACACCCCAATGAAACACCTGTTTCCATCTCCAAAACTTCCTGAATTGCCAAAAAAAAAAAAAAAAATTTCAAGATGTGGTTTAACTTTGAATATAATTTATATAACGAACGAATTATAAAAATTTTAAACCCTAATTTGATGTGTCAATTTCGTTGGAAATTTGTAATTATTAGAAATTTGTATATTATAAGTTTTATATTAATTTAACGCAAATTAATTAAACTTTATTGGCTTGATTTATTAAAATCGACAACGATCAAAAATCAAATAAAAATAACTACAGTACACTGAAAATTTAATAATCGGTGCTATCACTTCAATTATCAAATGAAGCTTTATCATATCTGATTTCATCATTTGATCCGGAATAGAAGCAATATATAAACTTAAAATTCTTCGTAGAAACTTCATCTTTCCACATTATAAGCATTTTAATTCTTTCTCGAAATAATTTAAAAGGATCCATCGCTAAATTTGTGAGATCAGGTTGACTAGGATGTCCTGCTTGTTCCCCGACCAAAGATTTCTTCGCAAGTCCGCAAATTCTCCATCGAATTCTTTAACTATATCGCAATTTTTTTTTTGTATTGAAAGCCAGTACAAGGACTTCCAAAGCTAAAAAATGTTAGTTCAATATATTATTGAATTCATAATATAGCCCAATTAAATGCAAAAAAAAACGAATAAAGGTGTTCGCTAATCTATGTGTGGCACTTCATTCTGCGCAACCTTGTTACGTTTCTAAAAAATTTCAAAGACCAAATAAAACCATAGGACCGATTTGACCACCTTTATGACATACTGTTAATGCAAATTTATGATATGCACCAAAAAATTAGCTCGCTATATTTTTAGAAGACATTATTAAAATAATTTCACTGATCAATGTTTCTGGTTGTGACGAGGGAGGCAGTGCTTTAATTACCATTTTTATATAAACAATATCATTATAGACTATATATATCTCTCTCTCGCAAATGCAAAAAATATGAATGAATCTTGACCCTCTTGCCGATCTTATTGTAAAAACAATTGTTATTTATATAGTGATCGGCAAGAGGGCATCGCATCGCAATAGTAATCCTTGTCCTTTTTTTGGATCTTTGACCTTAAAATTAGAAATCTAGTTTATTAGAAATAATGCGTACCTTTTCATGTCCTCCTTTTTTGACATATTTTTGAGCGAATTAAAAAAAAAGTTCCGTTGATACTTCCAAAGGTTTCCTGTGATGCTAACTGAAATCGCAAGTTGATCTCTCAATTGTATATCCCTTGTTTCCCCTCCCGAACATCAGGTAACCGAGTGGGTTTTTGTGGCTCAGAGAACAAGAAACGTGTGGGTCTGCATAGAAAACCTGTAATGCACCATTCAGAAGCTTTGCGTTCGAAGTGTCTGCATGTGATGTTTATAATGTTCAGACGTTGAATAATCGTTGCAATTTATACACCGATAAAAATTTCTTCGAATAAGTGAAAATCAACCCTTTTAAATACAAATAAATAAATGATTTAAAAAAAAAAGTTTTATACTATAAACAAAGACTAGATTTTTTTTTTTGATCAATTGATGAAACAAAGACTTTATAGATTAACTTAATGAGGAGTCGTACAATGAAAATACTAATTTGGGGATATCAAGCAATATAAAAAAAAAAATCGGTTTAATATCATTAACATTTCCGGAGTAGATTTACGGCTAATACCCAAAATGAACAAGGTAATTCTGGTCAAAGGAGGTTGTATTAGATCAATCAAAAAACCCCTTCTAATAGAAAGCATATCCTCGATCTTGTTAATCAACTCGTTTCTATATTTTCATAGATCTTTCAAAATGACTACTTTAATAAATTGAATTTTGAAAGGAAAAAAAAAAAAAAAAAAAATACTAAAAATGCGTATAATGACAACCATATGAATGAATGGATAAGTAAATAATCGGGGATATTCCACAATCATATTATAAATAGTAATTAGAAATGAACGGAATTAAGCGACGCAGCATCGCTGTTTGTTTATTAATGAAATAATTATTTAACAATAAGAAAGTATATATAAAGTATACAATATATTATTATTTACGTCATTAATTATAATCGTAAACAAACAAAATTGATTCTTCCTCTCTTGTGATAGAAACATCTTTGTCCCTTCTTCTTATCATATTTCATGCATAGCTAATAGGTTATGATAACGTGACAGATGGTGAGTTCATCACATTTATGTATACAATGGTTTAGCTATTTCGCATCTACCTGTTAACGGTTAATAAAATTGCGGTTTCTTGTTTCTTTACTTTTTACTTTTACCTTTTCCTGTTATTCTTATTATTTTTTAAATACAATTATTTTTACAACCATTAACAATCTTGGGAAAATTCAACTTCTACTTAAATGAAATCGTAAGTGCATTTTACTTTGATTTTCCTGCGCCACATTAGTTGCGAGCGTTATGTTTTAAATCTCTTGAAAAATAAATTATTTTTATTAAAGAATTAGCAATGGTAAAAAATGACCATACATACATACAAAATGCATT